TTTATCTCCTCCCCTATAAAAGGTTCCCCAAAAGAGACAGGGAAAAGGAAAGAGAGGCAAAGTGCTCTGACCTGCAATGGGACAGTCGTTGTCCTCCTGGTGTGTATGTCCAGGACAGCCTGGCCTTTAGCCTAGAAGAGTCTGTGCCTGCTGCAAGCTGGTGCAGAGAAACCAAAGTCAGACCACCCTGGAGAGGAGTATGGCTTGGCGGAGCCTTTCCACATCCTGCCCCAGCACCACCCCTCAGTGTCAGGGTGCTGGATTCATTCCATCCTATAAAGCTGGCAAGTGAGTTGCTGGCCCCTCAACTCACTCCAGCCAGAATCCAACCCAATCAGCATCCATCAGGCTACCATAACCTTGAGGAGTGGTCTGGAGACATGAAGATCCCCCCTAATGGCATCACACAGTGAAAAAATTAAAGCAAAAGCAAAATTAAGGGCACAGGACTGGCTTACCACTTTGAGATCTGATTACCAAAGGAGAACTTTGAATTTATTTAGTTCAGATGTACCTTACTCATATTGTAAGGAAGTAATGCAAGGCATTACATAATGTCAACCATAGAAAATACATCTTGCTGTTTTGTCATCTCTCTTAGGTTTTTATTCTGTGTATGGTCTTGCTTTGTTGCAAAAAAAATCTAAATTTTATGTAGTAAAGTTGATGAGGTTGTTTCTAATTCCTTATTTAAATATATGGTTGGACAAGCCTTTCACCTCTCTAATTCTGATATAATCATCTGTACTTTCTTCTATTTATGTCATAGTTTATTCTTACTAAAACCAGGAGCATATTGTATATAGATAGCAGTGTCTCTCCACCTTGTGTGCTCATATACAGAAAAGCAGATTTAGTGGGTCTGGGGTAGAGCCCAGGTCTCCGCTTACTTTATAGGAGAAACACTGATAACTGAAATATTTGAATAATTTTAATGTTGAATTTGGGGAAATTCACCCCTAACGTGATCCCTTTGGAATTGCAATTCATGCTTTCTAGAGATGTGAACACACTGAAGCTAACATAGTCCATCAGACAGACTGGGTTCAGGACTGGGTCATAATTCAAAAATTATTAGCCACTATCTATGTTTCTAGAATTAACATGATCAATAAAACAAAATCTTAGAAATCATAATATCTGATACAGACACATATATATGTATATGCATATATATTAGTACTTTAATTACTTACAAATCTTAGATTTTTAAAAAGGAGTTTAACAGAAATCATAACACCTGATACAGACACACACACACACACACACACACACACACACATAGCGCTTTAATGACTTTTGCATGTTTCTTGTTGATGTGGGGTGGGGCAGAAGGGAAATGTCTTAGTTTGAGCTTGTCTTTTTTAAAAATATTTGTTTATTTTGGCTGCGCCAGGTGTTAGGTGCCGCACGCGGGATCTTTAGTTTTGGCATGTGTGTGGGATCTAGTTCCCCAACCAGGGTTCAAACCCAGGCCCCCTGCATTGGGAGCAAGGGGTCTTACCCAGCGGACCACCAGGGAAGTCCCTGAGCTTAGGTCTTAATTTCCTCTTTAACTTATACATATTGAGTAAGTCAGATGAATTGGTAAGGCAAGCCTGCCAAAAGCCCCTGGGAGAGAACTCACCCTAAGCAAATGTTGGGCAATTAAAACCATAGTTATCCTTGGAGATTATTTGGGAGGGGGTTCCAATTCTGAGCACAAAGCATTGTGTCTGGCTCACATATTTATCTCCGAGCCCAGGTCCCAGTGAACTCATGTTTGCGCTCAATGGAGAAAAGGGGAGGCTTTTGGGAAAAAAAAAATAGGAAAGACTATTCTGCTAAGAATTCTTTAAGACATAGAGGTCTAAGCAGCACTGGGATGGTATCCACCTGGACAGGTGTAATATTAAAGCTAGAGGAGGGGCATCCTTCATATATCTGTTAAGAGACACAGTTCAGCTTTGGCCCAGCAGGGACTCCAGAGCAATCAGTAAAGCTTTGCACCTTGAGGACTCTGGCACCTCAGCTGTGATGGGGGCCATGAAAGGAGCAGGACCCAGGAGAAGGGGCAGCGGTACCCAGCAGACATGGTGGTATCTAAGGGAAGAGAATAGCAGGACAACAATGGAATGTGGCACTCACCTGGAATCGCACAGGATTTGTGAGTGCAAACGAGACCTCCTTTGGGTACTATCCCCAGTATCTGAAGGGAATCTATAGGGGATGGGGTCCAGCATGTGCAAGTAGGGGGAAAAAGTACAGCTCACATGACCTTTACCTCATTTGGTTCTGCAGCAGCCCTGTAAATTCTCCTATTCCTATTTAAATGGGAAAAGAATGACCCTTAAACAAATATGAGTACAGTACCTGGTTTACATCTCTGCCTAAGAGATTCAGAAAAAAACATGGGATTTAAGTTCTGTCAAGTATTTATTAAGTGCCACATTATCTTTATAAGCTGATTGACATTATTTTTAAATTGCTTTACAATTTTTCTATTATATTGGGTTTTTTTGGCAACACATGTAAAATGTGTTCATCTTGAAAAAATGAGAAATTCAGATGCAGCAAAAATGAAAAACAAACAAGTCACCTGTTATCTTACCACAGATAGCCACTGTTAAGCCTTTGAAGTATATACTTTCAGTTTTTTCATTTCATATTAATATATAAATATACTTTTTTACAAAAAGGGGATACTACATACACTTTCTGAAAATTGCTTTTTTTACTTCATAATATATAATGTACATCTTTTCCATGCAAATGGAGAAGACTTATGATTGAAAGAGGGGGACTTGCAGATGGGGGGGCAATTTTATGCCAGTTACAAGCGAAACACCTCAAATAAAGCCATGCAAAGTTAAGATTAGGAAGACGGGGTAAGGTATATGTGAAAAAGCAAACAAAGGTCAGGTGATAATACTCATACCAGGCAAAACAGAATTAAAGGCCGAACACATTAAATAGGATAAGGACGGTTCCGCCTTGCCTTCCAATGCATGATCATCAATTTGTTTCGTACTCGCTTCATCTCTTCCATCTCCTCTGCTACCTTTATCATCTCCTCATTGCTTAAATTTCTGCCGTGTATGTCCCCTCTAAATTGCGGGCGGGAGCGAGCCAGCCTCTCTTTAAAGCTTCCCTCTTCTAGCTTATGTTTGCCCACTCCGCAAGGAGGCTGCTCCATGGGAGGGCGCTCCTCAAAAAGGTCCTTCCTAGACAGGCGTTCCTGAGGAGGGCGCTCCTCGGACACGAGCATCTCAGGAAGGAGCTCAGGAAGGAGTTCCTCAGGAAAGAACTCCTCCTCCGAGGATTGCTCCTCCGAAGACGGCTCCTCCGGAGACGACTTTTCGGGAGAGTGTTCCACAGGAGGCCGCTCCTCCTCCGCCTTGGGCGAGCTCTGTGGCTGCTCCTCAGGCTCTTGGCAGGCTTTTTCCATGTTCAGGATGGTCTTTTTTAAGCACGGTTATTCACAGGAGACAGGAAAGGCAAAGGCGAGTCAGAATACTCGCTGTCTGGACCAAAACCCCGCCCATGGGTTCCAGTACCTGCCTCTTCCCGAGTCTGGGCCCGGGTACTCCAACCTACGCTGGCCGAGGGTCTCTTCGGCCCCCGGGACCCCGCTGCGTCTGGTCGTTCCCCCCCGGCCTCCCCACACCTTGTCACCCCCTCCTTCCGAAAGCCCACCATTTTCCCGGCAGGCCTTGCCACAGAGGCCTCTCCCGCTGGGGCCGGGGCGGGGCGGGCTGGCAGTGCCGCGGACCCGGCTCCCTCAAGCGCCCTCCCTCTCACCCCATCCCGGCCCGCTGCCCAACCCTACCCCGACCTGGACCTCTCCCGGCGGCTGGCTCCTAGGCATCCTCTCCTCCAGGTGCCCCGCTGTGACCTGCGGAGCTGCAGACCGACAAGACAGGGTAGGGGGCGGGGAGAGGGGATGAGGGAGGGACTGACTCACACGTCCCTTTTACAGGCACCAGCTGCCTCACCCCGTGTTCCCCTCCCCCTCGCCCCATCTCAAAGCTTCGTTCTCCCCCTGACCCCCGCCAACCCCGCAATGCTCGCCATTTGTTTCCAGGCGGGAAGTGAAAGCGAAGGACTACTTAGAAGCTGTTTCTTGTCCGTGTTTCCTTCCCGTGGGGGGGGGGGCCCACTCACCTCCCCACCCCACCCCCTAGACCACCATTTTCTGCACCGAAATATGGGCGCGGGGGCGGGGCGGGGCTGGGCACAGGGGAAGGCCTGAACTCTGTGCCATCCCAATCCCAGGGGTTACTGGGCAGCACCGACACTTACACCGATTTAAGAGGGCGGAGGGGACTTACTTCCTTCTGTTTTTCCCCTCGACCAAAGGGCAATAGGAAGATGGTGTCTGGACAGGGAAAAAGGACCACGACGAGAGGGACTTGGGCAGACACAGGCTCTGGTCACGTGATGGCCGCGCGTCACCGCCAAGCTCAGATCCCCAGTTACCACTTTGACCGGCGGCGGTGCTGCCGCAACCAGCCGATATTTCCTGACCCCCTAACACACCATACATCGTCGTCACTCACCTCTCTGTTTATATTTGCCTTTTCCTGGTTACTAGAGGCGGTCAGCATCCAGTCTTGAGGGTTATTGCCTCTTCACCTGATAACACCTCTCTCCCTCATTCTCCTGTCATCAGCTACCAAGGCCCATTATTTCCCCCACAGTTCAGATCCTGTACTGAAATTTGACTGTTTCTCCTTAATGAGTCACTATCATATGCCACTTCTTCCAGGTTTAATCCACATCCATAACTCCATCATGTCCGTTTAGGCTCTATCAACATGGTTTTCATCTCTTGTCACTTTCATCGGAGATAAACTTTCACTTTTCCATGACTTAAGGATTTTTTCTTGAGTCTCCAGACCTAAATCACAAGTAGAAGCTCCAGTCTAAATTGGTAATCATTCAGTTCTAGAGCTCTAGAAAGAGTAAAGTTTGTGAAGTATCAATACATAAATCTAAAAAGACTGAGTACTTTGATTTTCATAAATCAAAATACACATTTGTGCATCTATGTACAAATAGTTTGAAAACTTATTTACTATCTGAAATGGGAGCACTTTTGGTGGAGAGCATGGCATTATTATATATATATATGTATGTATGTATTTATATTACATATGTACCATATATATACTATTGAGTAATTATTATTTATAATAGAAGAAATAGATTTTGCTGTGGGTCTAAATCTTTAACCAGCAACCTACTGGTGTTGCTGGTTGACGAAATTTATATCAATTCATTAAATGTGCAAATATTTGGGTCCTGGGACTGCTATACCCAAAAAGATAGATTCAGCACAGAGGACATTCATATTAAACTATGTAATAATTCTTGGGAGCACACACAAAGTAGCAGGATTAAAATCATGCTAACACAGTTGTTATTATAAGCATGTACTTTTGGATCTAATGGTGTTTTATGATCTTCGACTTCATGCCTGCATCTCACATCAGCCTGGATGCTACTTTATCATGCAGATGGCCTTTCTTCCAGAGAGCAGACTATACCTCTCCTTATAATTTACACTTTCAGGGTAGGTGACCATCAGATCTGTGAGGATCCTGGCCTGTCTAGTAAGTTTCCAAACAGAAATTCATACGTGGAATTTCCCATTTTAAGAGCTTTTTGTCACTTTTCTCCAACATCTAGTTTACTTTGTGTTGAGATAGCAGCAAGACAGATAGATATTAGTTCACCTTTATATATTTTCCATAACTGTTTTACCTTTCAATTTTTCAATGATATGTGTCTTTTAAGCCAAGCTTCACTCTACCTTCTTTATTCTTTTCACCAAGGGTTGGCTTCATCATTTGTATGGTTTCTTTCCGAGAGGAGCCCCCTTTATTCATTCTTCATTTTTATCCTTTTTTTCCTCACATCCTGTGATGGAGGACTCACTACCTTAAGAGATACTCCAGGGAAATTTCAGACAGTTCTAATCATTCAGTGTTTTTTTTTCCCCCTTTGAGCTGAAATCTGCCTCCCTGTAGTTTATGCACATTGGTCCTGGTTCTGCCCTCTGGAGTGTTACAAAACAAGTTTAAAATAACAAAAGTGCCTTTTACCCTTGACAACCTGACACTGCCAAAGTTAATGTTCTTGTTCTTTCCCCTGCCCACCTGTGAGATACACTGGGCAATATACTTGACCTTTCTGTGACTCTACTTCCCATCTGCAAAATTGGAGACAAAATAGTACCTACCTCATAGGATTGGTAAAAAGAATAAATGAGTCAGTATGTGTAAAGGACCTGGAGTAGCGCTAGTAACAATAATAATAGTATGACAGTACTGATAATACTACTAATTATCATTCTTTTATTATTAACATTAATTGAGCCCGTGTGCCAGGCATTGCACTAAGCACTATCTCATATACTATCTCATTTAATCCTTCAACAGTTATGTTCTCACCAAGACTGTTTTTTTTAGGTTTAACCTCCCCAGTTGTTTCAGCTCCTTCTGACGTGATATATTTATTCAAAGTCACTCACCATCCTACATGCTCCTGAATTTGTAAGTGTCTGAAAATACTGGATATTCTTCCTGGTGTAGCATGGAGTGATCTTACCACACCCTTCATTCTAGAATAGCCACGATACATCTACAAATGCATCCTAAGATCTTAGTAGATTTTGTGGATGCCATATAACACAGTTGAATCCACTTTAAGTTGCAGTCAACTGAGATCCCCAAACCCCTGTTAATGCACTTCTGTATATCAGTTTACTTTTAACCCAAGTGCAGAAGCTTGTATTTTTCTGGGTTAAATGTTGTCAGTTAGATTCACTCCCTCATTCTTTGTATTCAGATTCTGTCATTCAGTACATTAGCTACAAAATAT